AGACCCTTCTTTTCATGACAAGGGTTACTGGGCTACATCTTTTCGGGTAAATTCTTTTTTCCCAGGCCAGTGAAAAAGGCTTGAGATTAGTATCATAATTCAATGCTCCCGACACCGAGAATCGAACTCGTAATCTTTAGTTTATCAGACAACGGATGCAAACACGTTAGCCCACTGGGCGAATTATGACAAAACAATTATAGTTATATCAAAGCAACCATTTGTTTTCATAATGTGGCTGTCTATGGCTATTCACGGTGAATATTATACTAATTCTTAAAGCTTGTCCGTGCACATCCTTGACAATCTCTACAGCGGAGTCAAAAATATCAATATTTCTTTCAAAAATAACAATATAAAAAACTATCTATATTATCGATCGTTTAATTAGTAACTTCCCGGGAACTTAAAGAGGATTTATTTCTGAATTCTTTAACTAAACAGTTATTTACTTTAAAACGACGACATACACGTACCAATGTTTTAACTATTTGGTTAAAAAAGAAGGCGAGAAATGTGTGTCTCTTAATTTCCAAGATTCTAAATTTAATTTGATAATAATATCTAGTTAAAAATATAATAAAACTGTAATGGCATCCATGTATATTTTTAACTTTATTTTTTTTTTTTTTTAAAGGTGAGGTAACATTTTTTCCATCGGCACAACTGGAGTTGTAAAAATATTTCTAAGGAAGCAATTTGAGATTGCATTTTTTTTTACTTTGAAGGCTTCTTCTTGTTCAAATTATTTTCATATATATATATATATATATATATATATATATATATATATATATATATATATATATATAAACACGCCTTCACGGTTCTACAATAACCATTCTCCGTTACCAAATATTTAACTTCTACATTGATATATTATCACTATGTCTCGTACATCAATAAATGGGTTGAAGAATGAAGGCGTGTTATTAAAAATTATTCCTTTAAGTATGTAAAATTTAAATATAATTTGTGTCTAACGGGAGGATAAAAACTCTCGATAGTCACTAGGAATATACATGTTTTTAAACTAGCGATATGTCGATAGTACTATCGCCTATCGCCCATCTCTTGTCAGTGTTAATACTATGAATGCAGTGTCATTGCAATGCACACACAGCTAAAACTGTGTGGAATGCAGGTATCAGTGGACCGTGAGGACGGATACATTCTGATTTTTGATAATGGGTTGTTATGCATGATGGTATCCATTTATCGATAACTAAGCTTCGCACGACCAATTTCTATTTATGTAAATTGTACTTGAGCGTATAACATACTACTAACAGTAAACATTATATTTCTTTTCTTTTACAATTAATTCGTTCCTAAAAATGTCCCAACAGTAAAAAAACAAGGTTCAAAAAAGAAAAATATAAACCCGAACCTACTTTATTTGCGGATTTCTCTCCTGTTTATCACTCCTTTTGGAAGATTTTTCTTTTTTGAATCTTGTTTTACTGTAGTATTAACACTAACAAGAGATGGGCGATAGTCGATAGTACTATCGACATATAGATAGTTTAAAACTATCTATATTCCTAGTGACTATCGATAGTTCTTATTCTCCCGTTAGACACCACGGGCGGATCTACGGGAGGGAGGGGGGGCTTTCGGGCTGAAGCCCCCCCCCAAAATGCTAAAATATAACCATGTTTTATCGAAAAAAATATTTAAAAAGTATCTCTTAAAGTATTATTATTCGTGTAATTACATTTACAAGGGCTTTAGGAATCACTTATACTCCATTTCATAAAGGTAGTTAGCTTCTTTCTTTTTCTCCAAAGCAATTATCGTAATTTTTTGAAAAAAAAAAAAACTTTCGGGCTGAAGCCCTCCCCCAAAATTAAATCCTGGATCCGCTAGTGTTAGACACAAATTATATTAAAATTTTATATACTTAAAGGAATAATTTTTAATAACAAGCCTTCATTTTTCAATCCATTTATTGATATACCTCCGATACAGTGATAATATATCAATGTAAAAGTTAAATGTTTGGTAATGGAGAACGGTTAATGTAGAAGTGTGAAGGCGTGTTTAAAACTATTCTTATCAATATATAAAAATGAAAATAAATTGAACAAGAAGGAGCATTCAAAGTAAAAAAAAAATATAATCTCAAATTACTTCCTTAGAAAGATTTTTACAACTCCAGTTGTGCCGATGGAAAAAATGATACATTTATCTCACTTTTTTTCATAAAATAAAAATAAAATTAAAAAATCTACATGAATGCCATTTCAGTTTTATCATATTTTTAACTAGGTGTTATTATCAAACTAAATTTAGAATCTTGGAAATTAACAGACACACATTTCTCGCCTTCTTTTTTAACCAAATAGTTAAAACGATGGTGCATATAGTTCGTCGTTTTAAAGTAAATAACTAAAGAATTCAGCGATAAATCCTCTTATCGATTATTCCACGGTACAAGTTACTAACTTGACTATCACCCGCTGTAGAGCTTGTCTAGGATGTGTACGTACGGAGAAGCTTTAATAATTAGTACAACATTCGCCGGGAAGCCATAGTTAGCCATATTATGAAAACAAATGGTTGCTTTGACATTACTATAACTTTTTTGTCATTATATTTTTATTTAAATTATTATTTATGAAATTAATATACATTCAGTAAATGTGGTACAGAGAAATACCGGAAATGTCAAGGCTTGTAGAGAATCTAACCATTGGTAGCACTCTAATAAAGTATCTAAATTAGGAGATCACGAGGCCATTTTCTTTTCAGACGCCTTGGAGGGTTATCAGGGATCGAGGAGGAAGCAAGGTCAGAAACGAGAGGATTAGGATGGTTCTGAAGTTTATTATGGCTGGATAGGTGTCTGGATTGGGCCAAATCTGAAACATTCAGGTCATTATGGATCATTTTATTTGTTATAAAGTAAGGAGCATTACGGATTTTACGAAGGATTTTGGATTGTAAAGATTGAATATGAGAGGAATTCGATGGTTTAGTGGAGGCCCAAAGCTCAACTCCGTAAGTCCAAATAAGTCTTATTATAGTCATGTATATGAGTCTTTTGTAATTAATTAAAAGATTTGAGCGTTTGTCTAGTATGTGCTGAAGTAGTCGGAAACGTCGAACGGTTTCTTGTCTTTTCACTCTAGGTATACCGATTCCAATGTTTGTCCAGGTGGAGTCCTAGGTATCGAATTTGTTTAACAGGGGTATTATCATAAGTGAGGTATTATTAAAGAATACTGTAGGAGTCATTATAATTCAATTTTAAAATATGTGGGACTCAAACAATACGAACAATATGTAACAGATGCGTCCTGTTTGAATTTAGTTTTCAAATGATCATGCTTTAAAGGTGGCTATTATTGTTGCTACTTTAAGGGGAAGAGATGTATACTTCTTAACAGACGTAACTCTTCTTCGAGGCGAGCATTCCTTAGTTTTAGGAGGGTGAGGTGCTCGCTGCAGAATAGCAATGAGGGGCTACGACACCTGCTCGTTTATCTTCTGTTCTGGGGAAGATGTATGATCCGTTATTACACCTTTATTAGCGTTAATATGTTAGAAATTTCGGGAAAATCTATTTGTAACCGGAAAAGATCTTAATTGGTTTAATGCGGCATCACAGAGTTTTCAGAAGAAGAAATGCACTTATGTTAGTCTTTTAGAAAAAATCATGTAATCTTTTGTCGAAATTAAATCAGGTTAGTCAAACATTTAAAAAAAAAAAGTTTATATGTTCGTTTAAGCTAATAATCTCTTCTTATTTTTCTTTTTTTTTATGAAGCCTACGTTTATAAATTTGTTCACAGTTAAGGCAATAATACTTCAAATTTCCAATTGGCAAATGATGCCACATCAAATAAGCAAGATAAATAACTGTACAATAGATGAAGTAGATTGGTTTTGTAAAAATAGCTTATTTAAAATGTGCTTAGTTTCAGTGAAGATAAGGATTGCTCTGATGATGGGAAAATTTTCCCGAAACGTTAGAGATAATAAATTTAATTAAAATGATTTGAAGGAAATTGGAAGTATTATTACTTTAACTGTGAAAAAACTAATAATCTCTCTTGAAAATTTGACTCAACAGAGGTGCTCCGGTTAAGACTAAAGACCACATTTCGACTTATGGGGCCCCAATTAAACTATCCGATATATTGGAAAAGTTTCTTTTTTAACTTAAATTGTTATTATTTATTTATTTTATTTTTGTTTTTAGAACAATCATTTTAGTTTTATGTATATGCTCTTTTTTATACATATATTAGCTTAAAAAATTATTATTTTAGTTTAAGAAGGTTTTAGTATAATTTTATCATAATTGATTTGTTGAACATACGACTATGATTTATTAAGCTTCATGTAATATTTTTCCTATTCCAAGCAACGCCGAATGTGGTTAGCACTTGGACGGGTGACCGCTCGATTGGGTGACCGCCCATCAGGAAAAACCACGCTTCCAGAGATCTTTCCCTCCCCTGGATAGGTGAGACCCACCAGCCTCCTGGAGGCAACTTACACCGACCGGGCGTAGGGACTGATGACCCTGCTTCCATGTACTTAACCCGATTCCCGATTTAAGTACACGGAAGCAGGGTCATCAGTCCCTACGCCCGGTCGGTGTAAGTTGCCTCCAGGAGCCTGCCGGGTCTCACCTATCCAGGGGGAGGGAAGGATCTCTGGAAGCGTGGCTTTTCCTGATGGGCGGTCACCCAATATATATATATACTTATTTTTGCTACTAGTTGGTTTTATTATTTGAAATTTTTCCTTGTTTTATTTGAAAAACGACTTGGCGTCCAACTCCTGTAGATTTTCTATTTTTCTTTTCTTTATAAATATTATTTCTTTTTTTTTTTTTTTCTTCTTCATGACCACACTTCTTCACCACAATGATAGAGGTAAATTTAAAGACTACTGGAGATAGAAGTAACATTGAGATAGCCATAATATCGACGTAAGGAATGTCCTCCTTGTTGATTGCTAGGTTTGATGTGTTGTGCTTGCCTTAGGCCTACAAGCTGGGTATGTTCGGAGAGGACTACGGCTGGCTGGTCCAGGGGAGCCCCGAGGACGGCTGGTGGATGACGGAGCACCACTGCGGTCATCATCTGGCATCCGCGGCCCAAGGAGTCATCCTCGTGTCCAGCTACAGCGATCTCATCGGCCAGCATCAGCTCTCTGGTCTCGTAAGTAGCCAAGTGGATGCAGCCATCTTATATCTTATAATATATCTTATATTATATATCTATTATATATTATATATCTTCTTGGAAATATCTTTTATTTTATATGACGATCGAGATAAAATCGAATTCTCTGATGTTCCTAAAAGTCGTTTGTCCAAGTTAAACAGTTTATTAGTAGTGGATCCAGTATTTAATTTTTTTTTTTTTTTTTTTTTTTGTGGAGATATATATGAGGACAAAAAGAAAAAAAGGTAATTACAGATATAATAATGCTTTTAGATACATTTCTTGTATTTTTTCTTGATGCGTGTTTACATAAAGTTTCTCTATATGCATTAAAATTTAAAAACAGAATATATTTTGATTGTTTAAGTAGTAGTCTACATCACTCGTAAAAAAACGTCTGCCAAGTAAGATCAGTATAGCTTCCTCACCGTTTTCATTTCCTAAAAAATATGTATATCAAAAGCCCTAAAAATTTTCTTATGAAAATAAAATCTCTGGAAGAAGCCGTTTTCGGAAATTCACTAATCCCTCAACATATAAGGGCTAGTGATTTCTACGAGTTTTGTTTATCTGCAAATAATAAAATGAGAAAAAGTTTCGCATTTGCAGATTGCATATTTGAAAAAAATCCAGTGCATATTGAATATATGTATCTCGCTACTGTTAGTGCAAATGAGGTATATAAAAATTGAGTGTTTTACAGGAGAGCATAAAAACTAATTGTTTCTTTATGATTTATTGGTATCATTTTATATTTCATTGCCCTCTGCTTTCATAGTAGTAGACTACTTATATCGATTGCAGACTACATGTCTGTAGTGTCAAAAACTGAAAACTTTTACATACGATCTTTGCACGAACAGAAGTGATATATACTTAATAGGTGTGTTTTCACTCGTAAAATGGATGGCGCAAAAAATCCATAGGAAAAATTCAACTTTTTGTTTGTTCGGAGTTAACTAGATCAATCCTTTTCTTCAGTCAGACAAAACTAATTAAGCTTGAATATAAAAATATGGGTGAAGCTCACACAACTTCACGCAAAGTTGGCCCAATTTTGATGTTTAAGGAGAAAATCAAGACCACGACGAGACGGTCGAACTTCAATGGAAACAAACACAGTCACAAATAAGACTTTTTTTTTTAATACAAATTCAGAGTAAAAATTACTTTAAATTTACTGGAAATCACACTAAATCTATGTAACAGCAATAAGTGCCATGCCAGTAATCTTTAGAATCGACCAAACAATTCAGTATAAATTAACTTTTTGAATAAAATCTAATATTTCATAATAATATTGAAATTATCTAACTTCCACTCCATATGATCAGTGCCTTCCACATTTCACAGACATTATATTGTTAACAAGTATTTATATTAATTTTAATTATTAAATGGAAAATTTCGATTCTGAGCACAATTATTTATTTTAACCTCTCGCACGAATATAATGCTTCCCTACCTTCGGTAGTGAGGAATCAAAAGCGTTTACCTGTTGAAAATTTCTGAAAATTCGAAAATATATCGAAGATTTCGTTTTGAAAGTTGGGAATGTTATGAGCAGAGCCAAAATTTTTATGTAGTAAAAATCCTATAATCCTATAAAATCCTAGAATATGTCTATAAAAAAAAATATAAACCAAAAATATACAATAAGATAGCAACATAAAACATAAAAGATGTTCTTGGGAAAGAGACTATAATAAATATTAGTAAAAAGACCTTTAAGTCTCTATAAATAATTTATTTATTTCAAATTTATCCGAATTTTCTCCTTTTTGGGCATTTTCAAGGGCATTTATAAGTAATTTAAACTTTCATCTGAAAAAATCTTTCAGAGGATTTACTATTAGCCATTAGCCCATTTTTAAAACTATATATCCTTAAAAACAATATTCACCAGTCAACAAAACATTGAAATATACTAACGCAGCTACACTAAGAATCTAAAGAAGGATAAAAAATTAAACGGAAATAAATTATTTTTCATTATTTTTTCTTCATAAACCAAAGTTATTAAAGTATTTGTCAAACAAGATACTTTTTCATTAATGAAAACTGTTTTATCAAAAAAATATGACGTTTTCTCGCTTAAAATCTTTACAACAGATGTGACGGAGGTAAATTGATATGCGTTTCAATAACTGTTCTATTTTAAGGATCGATTGGTAATCTAAGGTTCGCTACAAGATTTCATTTTTGAATGTAATGGGGCGCTTTCTTTTAGTATTTGAAATAACAATAAAAACAAACCTTAGAAAAAAAAAAATAAACTAACAAACTGAATGTAATGCTTAAAAGTTTAAAAGGAATAAGAAGATACAAAAAAACGCGAAATGTAAAAAAACATACAATATTCTAAGAAGTCAATATCTGAAGTTATTATTATTTAATTTATATATTCTTATTTAGCTTCCTGTAACTATTAGAAGTATAGGTAGTAGTTATAGATACTATTTTTAAGCTTGATATAATTTACTTAGTTAACGATTGATCATTTTACAAGAATAATTTTATTTGTATTTTATTATAATTACACAGTTTATACAGCTGATATCCCAACACATCCTAACACTGTCTTCACCACGTATGCCGATGATACGTGTGTCCTATCAGCTAATAATGACCCAACAATTGCATCCCAAAATCTTAATTGCATCCAAAACACGTCGCAAACCTTGAATAATGGTTTCAAAACTGGAGGATTAAAATAAATTCCAACAAATCCCTTTAAATCACCTTTACCCTTCGTCGTTAACCTATTTCCTCCTGTCCTACAGTATCCTTTAAAAATACCCCACTTATCTTTGTTGAACAAATCCGATACCTTGGACTCCACTTAGACAAATGTCTAACTTGGACTCCTCATAACCAGACTGAAATGACAAGAAACCGCTCGACGTTTCCGACTACTCCAGCACGTACTAGACTAACGCTCTAAGCTTCCAGTTAATTACAAAAGACTCATATACATGGTTACAATAAGACCTATTTGGACTTACGGAATTGAGCTCTGGGACTCCACTAAGCCATCGGATTCCTCTCGTACCCAATCTTTACAATCCAAAATCTTTCGTAAAATTCTTAATGCTCCTTAATTTGGTTTATTATAAATAAAATAAACCATAATGATCTCAATGTTCCATATGTTTCAGATTTGGCCCAATCCAGATACCTATTCTTCTATAATACACTTCAGAACCATCCAAACCCTCTCGTTTCTAACCTTGCTTCCTCTTCAATCCCAGACAACCCTCCGAGGTGTCTGAAAAGAAGATGGCCCCGAGATCTCCCTTTGCAAATATATTTTTAGAGTGCTACCAGTAGTTGTAGTTTCTCTACAAGTGGTGTCATGTTATTATATTGTTGAATTCACATTTACTGAATGTATTTTTATTTTTAATACATTTAGTTGTAAATATCATAAATAAAATTTAATACAATAACGTTGGTTAATTTTTATATATTTTACTTATTTGTTATTTTATTTTCAGTATTAGTGTATAAATAAGTCAATTAAATTTGGCTTTTTTTTTTATATTTACAACTGTATTAAAAATAAAAATATATTCAGTAAATGTGAACTCAACAATATAATAACATGAAACTACCCACTGGTAGCGCTCTAAAAATGTATTTACAAAAGGAGATCTCGAGGCCATCTTCTTTTCAGACGCCTCGGAGGGTAGCTTATTTAGAAATGAGTTTAGATGGAGTTGTTTTGGAATGAGAATGTCTGAAACAGTTCGTTCTTATTAATGTGAAAGGAGGACAAAAGCCGATGGCTTTGTTTTTAGTCTTCTCTTTCCAATAGCGCATGTGGGTCCCATGTTATTATTTCCACGAACGAGACTGTATTTAACGACAGTTAGACAGTTTAAAAAAAATAAAACTATTATAGTCTCTCCTATCTTGAAGTTAATAAATAAACATGAGTTTATTATTATACTACTGGTTGTATTTCTACATAATGAGACTTCTGCAAACTCATTGTTTTATCAACAAGAATAAATGAAACTTAATCAGTGACATAGAAGACTGAAAATTCCATTCGTAACGATAATACTATTTCAGTAGAGGATATCATCTCATTTGTAAAATACAAAATATATGAGGCATAGAGGAGCTTTGTTAATTAATATTAGTAAACAAGATTTACATGACAATTGAAACAAGCCTGAATAATTTAAGAAATGGCTGGAACAGTTGTGGTCTACACTTCAAACTGGATGTGACCAACAGATCAAATGATACACTGATATTGTAAATACAAAGTAACAATATTTAAAATTATAAATGTAAATACTATTTCTATCTCATAGCTATCCCCACCACTCTAAAAAAAAATTAATGTCAATATAAATCTATTGTTGATTGTAGGTTCACACGATTTTATTTTAATTTAGTCTATTTTATTTTCACTTATGTGTAATATATAGTAAGGTCAAGATTTATCTTAACATAATTTGAAAATTATTTTATAAAATTAGAACTCAGTATTTTCCAGAGACATAGAAGGGAAGGGAAATAAATAATTTATAAAAACATTTTTTCTAATTTATTTTTAACATGCCGATAATAAGCTAATTTTAATTGCGACTGTGATTTCGCTAAATTATTGAAGTTCTACAGCTTACAAAAGGGCTTGCAGAAGGAATCATTGAAGCTTACCCACCTTTCCATTAAAGTCCTCTATCAAAGGGAAGATATTACACCCGAGGCGATCTACTGGCATTATTGACAACTAATCTCTCTCTCATCTCCATTTAAGGTCCATTACTGTTCATTTATCTCATTCACCCCTTTTCGTAAAGGTCATTGTCAAATTTCTATTTGGTTAAAAGTTTATTATAATCACATAAATAAATGAACATCGGTCCATTTATTGATCAATGAAATTGGGATTTATAATTAATCAATAAAAAAAAGGTCAAATTCATTATATCTCGGACACTGAGTTTGAAAGTGTGCAATGATTTTTTTTCTGATTAATTCCATTCGTAGTATTTTGTCCTTCCAACCGGCTACACTTATGGTTCGTTTTATACAAAATATGGTTACGCAAAAAATTCGGAAGTTCCGTTAAAATGTGACCTATCCAAAAAAAAAAAACATTAAGGGCAAATACCAACGCCGGTGGGCAAGATACAATCTAAATCAGTCGTTTTTTCCTTCATCCTCTCGGAGATCTGTGCCTTCCTCTCCTGCGACCACTTCTTTATCGCACTCCTCCTTTCCGCTGCAAGGACCAAATGAAATTTGGTCAAAAAGTTTCCGGAATTCGACTCTATCCATCAAACCTCGCTTGTTATATTCAGTTTGGCTATTTGGTCCTTTATCTATTACAGATAACCCTTGACATTCTTGAGTCCTAGCATTTTATGAAAAAATCTTACTCAATATATTTCTGTCCACCCTGACTATAAAATGTCATAAAAGTCTCAGTAAAATCTCATTCTGTACTCCTCTTCTATTTTCTTAGGGTCATATATTTTATATTCCGTAGGATTTTCATTTCCGTTTTTAACAACCCCACTATTTATTATATCATTGTCTTTCTAAACTTCTCTGTCTTGATAGTCCTCTTCTCTGACCCCTACTCTCTTTAATCTGCTGAGGATATCCTTTGATGTTCTGAAGTTTTATCCCTCTGTCAAATATCCACTTGTTCAATCAATCCTTTCCTATTCCCTTCATATGACCGTAAAACATCAACCTTCTTTTCCTCATTGGTTTCTCTAGATCTTCAGTGTCTTGGTCCAGTCCCTTCTTTAATATCTTTATATATTTTTTTTATTTATTTGTCTTTGTTGTTGGCAATAAAAACTTCAAGGTATAAAACAAATAGTTTATTTGCTATAAATCATTCCAAGTAGACGTTTCGGGAAATTAATCCCATCTTCGAAACTTTATTGCCATCTTTCATAGCAATTAATTGTCAACGTAATGTTTTTATATGTAACAACATTACACTGAAAAGGATTAAGAAGTATTGTTAATATACATTCATTTTAGTGAAACTCTTTTCTATCCATTAATTACTGTGAAAGATGTGAATAAAGTTTTAAAGATGGGAATAATTTGGAATGATTTATAGTAAATAAATTATTTGTTTTATACTTGGAAGTTTTTATTGCCAACAACAAAGAAAATTAAACAGCTTCCCAACGGAAAAAGAAGAATTTGTTTATTTCTTTTTTTGAGTGCAATCAGTGGGTAGTTTCTCAACAAGAGATTTCATGTTATTATACTCCTGAGTGCACATTTACTAGTTGTATTTTTTTTATAATACAGTTATAAACATTAATCAACAAAAAAAAATTGTTTTTAATCATGACCCATTAATATGGGTTTAGAAACTTACTCGCGAATTCGTCGCGTTGCATAGAATCAATGAAGTTCAAAAATATTTTAGAATAATATAAGATTATTTACAATTAATCATCATAAAGTTTCTATCTCTCTTTTGGTTACGCTTATTTCTCTGTTTATGTGAAAAACGTTATTTATGGTCTGCGTCTATTCCATCTTATGTTCTATACTCAAAGAAATATAACGCTAAGTTAGGTTAGGATTACAATTTTAAAAGTATAAATTTGATATCATTTTGAACTTCTCATTTGAAAATTGTCTAATTTGTTCAATGTAGTATTTCATATGTATATATGTGTGTATATATATATATATATATATATATATATATATATATATATATATATATATATATATATATACATATCTTATTCTGAATTGTTGTCTTTGGTCTATGTATTAACATTTACTGCTGCCCACAGAGCCGAGAGGAACTGTCAAGCGTGCTCTCAGGAGGCGGTTACTCTCGTGAGAGCTACGACGCGGTCTGGGCGATCGCCCTGGCACTCTCCGCCGCCCAGAACGACCTCGACCTCAGCGACTTCCAGTACACGAGGGCTGATGTAGGCAGGGTCATCACCCAGGAACTGGGCTCCCTCCGATTCAATGGGCTATCGGTTAGTAGAGTACTAAATCTTTATCCATATATATATTATGAAATTATATTTGTATTATATGATATATAACTAGAGCGTAATCAAATCCTATTTGTTTGTTCTTATTTACCTTCATGTTTTACAGTTATTTCACAGTTAACTATAATTGTAATATTATTTGCACTGCTTATCGGCGCTGGGATCTCCTAGAGTCCTGCCTTTTCTTCCACGAGTGGGAAGAAAGGCTTGGCTCAGAGATCTTGAATGAATGAAGTTTGTAAATATTATGTAGCGGCGCAGTTCCCAGGATAGTTCTAGCTCTTGCCACAGGGTACAACTAGTTCGCCTACGCGCTACCAGGCACCGTGACACATACTAAAAATTGTATGTTTTATTTTTTATTGTTGTATTATAAAATACTCAAATTCTAAATAGGAATATCTATACACATTGTAAATATTTTTTATTAATAAAGTTTAATGGCGATAACATATACTGATTAAAGCTCAAAAATAACTGTTGTTGTAACGACTCTTGGTAGCAGGTTTCGTCTTGGCGGAATGAATACCGCAGTCAAATCTCACATTGTCAGGTCTCAGGATCTCCATCCTCCAGGGTGTAGACATTCATGAAGTTGATTAGTATAAGAATCACGTACTCCTTTTTATTTCACAACATTCCTTAACCTATCCTTTCCTCTTACTCCATGGAAGTAAGACGCTGATCTGTCCACTTTTAGTCCTATATACTAAGTCAGGAGAATGATTCTTCCGTTAGTACCTATTCCTCCCACAAGTCCGGAGATTGATCTCTCCGGTTGTGGTAACCATCCTTGCGTTAAGCTTGATCTCTTACACCGCAGCCCAATAGTGATTGAGGGCTGATCCGCCAGTCACTTAAGGCCATCCATCTATTCATCTTCCTACATCCAATCAGACATCTTACCCTCTATGATGAACACGCACTGTCGAGACCTTCTGGTAACTTGCATACTGCATCTGCAGCATATATACCTCAAAAATTATATAAAAGCATGTGTGTATTTAAGTAGTTATTTTGATTTTTTTAGTTTCTTTTAGTTTATATACATTTAATTTCAGTACTATTATTTTGCTTTTTATTTATTGTACATAGTGTGAATAGTTACTCTTCTATCACTATTACTATTATCCTCAGATTATAATATATCTCAATAAAGAATTTTCGAATTGCTTGTCAACACAAATATGTAAATATATCTATTTTTATTTATCTATAATTTTCTCAGGTTGGCTATGTCTTTTTCACCATATATTAATTATTCACCAGACAACGTTTCGCTACGCCATTTTCAAATCAATCTTTTTATGTTATAACTTACGGGTGCATTATTAAATTGCAATGTTTGAGCGATCGCTTATCTATATTGCTTATCAGTTTAAATATGTAAATACATTGATATTTACTTATAAAATTTCTATACTTATTCTTTACTTTAATTTTAAGGTTACATAACTCTATAATTTATTTTATGACACTTCTATGGTTCATTATCATTATTATCAGCGGAATAAATGTCCTCCAATAAAATTTAGTTTTATTGTCCATATGATATATGACTAGAGTATACGTATCAAACTATACGTGTTTGTTATCTTCCCTCATATTCTACTACAAAATTAATTGGTTTGACCTCGTATGAATGTTTCTAAAAATTCAGATCATTATTTTAATTTCTACTTCTTCAATAGAAAACCCGATGATTGAGAGATAAAAGTTTTTTCGGAACTCTCCCCTCCAAATATGTCTGTGCCATTTCTACTTTATAAAAATAATAATGAGGGAAAATTGCAGTTCAAGATATCTTTTTGTTAAAATTATATGTATAGAGATTCAATAGGCTTTCCGCATTTTCACATTTAGGGGCAATAAATAATATATATATTGCAAATTCTTTATTATATATATATATATATATAATAAAGAATTTATATCTATTAATATTTATAGATATATATATATATTATTTATTGTTCCTAAATGTGACTGATTTTTTTTTATTACCTTCCTGAAATAATTAATAATTATATTTATTAATGAAACATTAGGAACATAAGAATATATCGTTGGTTTAATGTATAATAAAGTCACTAAGTGCATTTTTGATGTAGGTTGACTTTCAAATATTATTTTGTGAATTTCGAACTTATTTATCTTTAAAAACACCATAAGTGTATGAAAATGACACTCACCCTTTTATTTATCATATTGAGTTGGAAAATAAGTCTTTTCGGTTTTTCAGGGTACAATAAAAGTCAATGTAAATTTATTTTTATAGACAGAAAATTTATTTTTATCTGCAATATATTGACCATTATTTAATATGACTTTTTGCATCTTTCTACTAACTGCATTATGCCATGTTCATAGAATGTCTGGAGTTTGTTGTTAAAAAAACTAATCCAAGTGGTTTTTATGTCCTCTTCCTTTAGTACCAGTACTAGAATAAGGAATAAATAAACAAAACTCCTTATAGCTTTTTATTTTTTATCTCCATTTGTAATTTGTTTACGATGGTCCTGTTGATGTTATTTTTTGTGGTCTATGTGGCCTAATTTCCAGCTAAATTTGTTGTAGATAGCTAAAGTCGTATTGAAGTTATAACAGTTTTTGTGATTTTTGAAAATAAATCATGCTAGAGACCCAAACATTAAGCCTGGAAATATAGCCGAGCACCTGGTTTTCTACGCTTGTGTGCGACACATTTACGGCCGATTGGGTGGGATTTCGATCAACAATAGCCTTAACATTGCTCGTTTTAATTTCATATGGATGACCAGACTGTTGAGCATCATTGATCTCAAAATTTCTTGAATGAAATTTGTCCAATTTTGACAGGTGCTTTCGGTTAATGCATCTTCCTCATAAACACTGCAATTTTTTCTATGATCTTCTGCAGCACGCTTACCTTTTTTAAAATAATACAACAAAATATACCGATAATGAATGATACTGTCTTCCGTATTCACAGTGCATATTCATATTCACAATGCATATTCATATCCACATATGCATATTCCGTATTCACAATAGCAAACACAATACTAAGCTAGTTTCAACAAGAGTTAACAGATATAGTTGTTGACATATTACAAACAGGATAAACAATCCACCTTAGGGATTAATTCATCAGATAAGAAGTGTAACAGAGATAAAAATAAACAGAAAAATCGAAAGGACTTATTTGCCATTCCTATATATATATATATATATATATATATATATATATATACATATATATATACTTATAGTAAGAGAATTTCCGGATTTCGCAAAGGGAATATTCATCAAAGTTCTTAATTATTTTAGGTTATAAAATATCACTTAATGACTTTTTGCAATATACAGACAATATTTCTCAACCACTAAAATTATTAAAACAAAAATATCTATATCTAATTAACATCCACAAAACAGTAGATCAAGTGGAAAGAAGAAGTTATGAAATCCGTAATCCAAACTATCTTGAGGTAAAAACTCTTAAAATCTCTCATTATAGACTAGCACTAGAAACATTAGATACAAGTAAAAAAAAAAAAACAATAGCTAAAGTCCTCTGCCTAACCATATTTAATCAATCTACCATGGATGAATGCTCTATGAAACAGATGAAGAATTGGCAGATAGAATAATTAAGCTGTAAAAAAAATATTAAAATGAAGAAAAATAGATGAGAAAGATGAAAGAAACAAAATCGAAAAGACTTTTTATATTTTTTATGAGCCCCGGAAAGGTTTCCAACGGAATTGCAAATATTTGTGTATATTCTAACTAGAGGGAATACAGCTGCTACATTTTGAAAAGCCAAACAAACAGAGCCCTGGGGGTTCTCCATGTTTTTAAATGGTTAATTAGTGTCTCTTGCCACTGTGATATTTGTCCAAACATTTCAGTCCTATCTCACAGCCAGGCCCAGTTTGGTGATTATTTGAATTCTGTAGGGCGATTATACATTTTGAAAAATAATATATCAAAAATTTATTAAATATTTCTTTCATATGATGAAAATATCTGAAAAGAAAAATGTTTGTTGGTTTAAAGAAATATGCATTAGCTTTATCAACCAAACAGTAGATATTTTTATTTTCAGATATTTTGATTACGAGACTGTAATGAGATTGGTATTTTTACTCAATATGTTCAGCCGACCCATAGATGGTCATAATCATTGATTATGATTACGATTACACGATATTAATCATAATCACGGTTTTCGATTTTGATTATAATCGCGAAATCATGTAATCGTAATTATGTAATTATAAGCATTGCAATCAAATTCATTCTTTCTTCTTCATATTCTTATTATAATGCTTACTTTGATCACAGAAACGAATGCCAAATTCACACCCCTCTAATGCTGTTCATATATTAAATTGGTCGACTCATAGATGGTCAAAATCGTAATGAATGATTACATGATAACAACTGAAAATAAAACTTAATGACAACGCCAATGTTATACTTGATACAGCAGCACTATAAATATAGCAAAAGTATGAAACGATTACCTGATAATATTCGTTTAATCACATGATCAAAATCACTGTAATTGTAATCACATAATCAAATTCACTGTAATCATAATCACGTAATCAAAATCACTGTAATCGTAATCACGTAATCGTAATAAAAAAAAAACAAATACACACGGTTTTCCTCTGTTTAGAAATAGGCTAACAGAAAAACAAGTATAAAACATAATCTATTTTCTTTTAGCTGTTGTGATCACTTTCGATGACATTTTATTTGGTTTAACATTTAACATTTTGCTAATTTTCATTCACTTCTCCTATTATATCTCGTAAATGAAGGATCAGTTTTTTACCATTCCAACAGTTTTCCGGATGTAGAGGTTGGTAAAAATAGGAAAATGGTATCGAAAATTTTCAGAATTTTCTTACGCTTTTCCTCTTTTATCTCGTTAATGGAGTCTCCGTTTTTGACCATCCCAACCATTTTATAACTGTTTAGAAGAAGGAAAATGGAAACAGTAGTTGTAGACATTTTCCGAATTTTCATTCGTTTTTATTTTTTTTATATCCGGAATGAAGGGTAAATTTTACGAGTATGTAGATCAGTCGAAAACGGAGAAATGGTGTAGACAATTTTCAGAATTTTCATTCACTTTCCCTATTCTATTTTGTGAATGGATGCTCGGTTTTCGACTTTTCCTACAATTTTATAACTGTATAGAGGTAGATCAATGGAGTGGTAAAAATTTACCGAATTTTCATTCGCTTTTCCTCTTTTATCACATAGTACTGAACCCAATTCCCTTCATAGGTTGTCAGTGGTACACGTTTCATTTCCTCTTTATTAATTTATCTCGGGAATGAAGGATGAGGTTTTCACCGTTCCAACAGTTTTTCCGGCTATGTAGAGGAAGACGAAAACAGAGAAATAGTGTGAAAAAATTTCCAAATTTTCTTTTGCTTTTCCTATTTTATCTCGGCAATGAAGGATCGGTTTTTTACCGTTTCAACAATTTCCCGGCTATGTAAATGTAGGCTCTGAGATAAAAGAGGAAAATCGTATTCAAATTCTGAAATTTTTTTTACACCATTTCCCCATTTTTATTTACTTCAGCATAACCGGAAAACGTACGGAACGATGAAAACTGATCCTTCATTACCGATATAAAAGAGGAAAAGAAAATGAAAATTCGGAAAATGTCAAATGTTAGACGGTATTATCGAAATTGTTCCCAACAGCTAATAGACAATTTTTTATACTCGTTTTCCTTTTTGTCTATCCCTAAACAGAGGAAAATTGTGTGTATTTCATTTTTTGATTCTGATTGCTCGATTCTGATTATATGATTACGATTACAGTGATTTTTATTACGTGATTATATTATTGTAATCAGGTAATCAGGTACTCGTTTCATACTTTTGCTATATTTGTAGTGCTATTGTATCAAGTATAAAATTGGCGTGATAATTAAGTTTTATTTTCAGTTGTTATCATGTAATCATTGATTACGATTTTGCCCATCTCTGAGTCGGCCAATTTAATATATGAACACCATTAGAAGGGTGTAAATTTGGCATTCGTTTCTGTGATCTAAGTATGCATTAAAATAAGAATATGATTTTTTTTTTATAATTATTAGTATTTTTTTAATGGCTTAAGAGTTCTTTACTGCCCGTATTGTTATATTATCGAAATGGATATTGTTGTTTCTGATATGATTTTTTTATAAGTGTATTCTACATTCTTCTATGAATCTGCCATACTGAATCAACCTTTTTATAATTACGTGCAATTGCTGGAATTGTACAAGACTCTGTTAACCATTTCGTAAATTTTACAAAATCAATTGTACTTAAAAAACGTTTGTGTTTTTACATGGGAATCGATATTTATCTCAATATCCAGAAAAACGAGTTAGGATTCACGCAGAAAATATAGGAGACTTAATTATACTACTCGAATATGCTAACCAGTACATTACAGCCGTTTAAATCCTAAGAAATGGCCATTAGGTATGACTCTCCTAAATCTGTTATTAAGCTGATGGTGGCGCTGTAGTGGTACGTGCAAGCGGGCCAAACAACAGGCTCATAATCCACTGTTTAAGCACTAATCTCAATTAACTGCTCTCACAAAGCCTTCGGTATACTCTCCTCTATACTGGAGCTCTCGTACATAATATACTACTTAAATATTTTCTTTTCATTTCACTTGTATGTAACCATATTAAACCTAATTGCATGTTATTCTGGTTGACATGTGAACGAAGTTATGCAATTATGTCTTATTTGTCATTTTTAATTAGATTTTTGTTTTATAAAATATATTACCTTAAGTGCTCAAATAATTATTGTGTAATTTATTGAAATGTTACGTCTTGGGGTGTTTAAGTTTATTCGGGATGGCACTGGATAATTATTGAGGATAATTATCCAGAATTATTTAATAAAAATTAATAAAATAAATTTGGTCCATGATTAATTAATTGTATTTCTTTTCTCAAAGGATGGTTTGTGTTTATCATGCTTTCTAATTACCAAACAATACCTGTGATCATCATGATATAAATATGTGGCAGAATTAAAATAACTTTTAATCAAAAACTTAATTTATTTCTATGTTTAATAAAGAATATATACAAATTATATTTACAAGAACGAAATACGTGATACAATGAATTTAATAATTAATTGTGAAAGCTTGATTTCAGATGGACTGTTTTAAAAATTATATTGCCATGAAATATTCCAACATTGCTAACTTTATTATTGGAAATAACACTTATCTATTGTATATAAAGTGGTGGGGTTGTTAGATTTCATCGCTGCTTCGCTGCTCCGAGATCATCTCGTCATGGTTCAAAGCTCTTCCAGGATCATCATGGTCTATATAGGGCCAAGGCTTCAGTCTCCAAGCCGGAAGAAAACAAGAGACCCATCCTCAATGTGGGAACTCAACATAAGACTTCTCTAAGGTGGGGCAAGAATGGTTCTTAACGTCACCGTATTACTCTGTGGAGTAACTAGGGTAACTCCTTGTATAACCAGTTAGACAATAACAGTAGTTATTGTGTAACTGGTAACACCCTAAAAGAAACCAGTTACTTAGCCCGTTACTAGTTTTTACTCTGAGCCTTCCTTCGAGCCAGGTACAGGGTCGATCCTTGCAGGTTCCAGGTAGGTGTACCTGATCTGCCCCTCGACGTTGTTTTTGATGTCAGAAGTCGGTTTCGTTCAACATTGTTCTTGACAAATAATAATTTTAAAAACTTATTGGCTATGTTCAATACATAGCAATATTTTTCTTCTGAGCTTCTAAGACTCCTCTTCCATATTTTATTTAATGTTTCACGTAATTTAAGAGTAAATAATTCATCGTTTATTTCACATATTTGTAAGATATCTACATATCATAGTCCATATGTAGTCAACGAAAAGAATAAATATGTGGAATAAAAAATAAAAAAAGAATAATACAAATATGAAAAAACTTTATATTGAGAGAATTTTACCACGCCAAATTCCTAATTTTATGGAGGAAGCAACTATTTCCAATTAGATTTGCAGCGAAGTTCGATATAATTATTGAACGAACACATGGAGGTATCACTCAGCTCGCCCCATGCTAAGTTACTAGACTTTACGTCTGATTTTATATGTATTATTTACCGTGAACATTTCTTTGATTATTTGGCAAATTTAATATAATTTAAAATCAAATAAAAATTATTAATGTGTTTTTATTATTTTTTTCAGGGTCCTGTCTCATTCGACGGTCCAGACCGCGTTGGAATTACTGCATTTTATCAAATTCAAGGTAAAAGGCTGACTTTCATGTAATATTATTTTATGTTTCTATTATTATGTCAGTTTTAATAAAAAGGTAATGGCAATTTTTTATTTTAAGGACCTTTCTAAAGCGTACATTGGACAGCTCTCTCGACTTTCAAGTGTTACGTTATTTCTCTTATGGATACTTTTTGTGTACTCCATTTTAAACTTGTCTATTTTTCCTATTTTATTTAATTAAACATAATATTTTTGTTTTGTTTTTAGGGGAAAAGGTTATATTTCCATTTGTAAATTATAAAAAAATGTCATACCACCGGGAGTCTTTTATGAAAAATTTTCAGTTTTATATTGTATATTTCACAGTAAGGAGATGACTTATTAATTAGGAACCCGTATATCATTTAAGTTTGAGCAATCCCCAGTATAGTGACAGTCTATTTTATTTTATTAGATCTTTTCATAGTATCTTTTTCAACATTTTTTACTTTATTATATCCCTCGATGCTTTCCCATCCATTCGTCCGAAACTGGTCCTTTTAATCAGGTATTTCACATAGGTGCATATATATTAATTTAATATTATTATTAAGTATTATTTATTTATTTATTTGGTATTTTGTTGCCTCTACCCTGTAGGGTCATTGGCAACGCCTTTAAATTACACTCTGTTCCAGAGTTTTATCACTTTCGTTAACGATTTCGTCAGGGTCAGTTATAATGTCTTGTCCACTCTTTATACCAGGCAATTTCTTTGTTTTGGAGATCTTCTTAATGCTTTTCACTTAATTCCAGAGCTCCTTCATTGAAATGCTTTGATGTAATGAAGATACGAAGTCTTCCCATGACGATCTTTTGCTTTTCGGTATATTTCGTAATCTTTGCAGCTCACTGTTTGAGTTTCTTGTAAGTGTGTTTCTTGGAGACAAACTAGTATAGGGTTCTCTTCGCTTATTGTCATTTTTAGGTGCTCTAAATGTCGGAGTATTTTGTTATTTGATAGTTGTGCCGGAATTTTTCTTTGAAAATCTGTTTGACAAATTCTTAGAGTAAAGTAACAGTGAAAACTTTTCTTTTTGTTGCATTCTGTTGTTGAAACCAATTAGCTCCAAGAAATAGGAACTCCACACCTCGGCGTAGCGGTTTCACCGCAAACGATGTCTGAGACGTCGATATCTGGCAGTTCTACAGAAAATGTGGACGCCTTAATAAGCTCAAACCAAACTACTGAAAATAATTGGGAACTCGTTACAGGAAGAAAACGCTCAATGGACAATAACAGAGACCCAAGAAAAGCTAAAAAGGTAAGCGAAGTTCCAACAATAACCTCAAATAGTTTTGAAGTTTTAATTACCATTAGTGACGAGTCTGATGCTACCACTAAGCAACCGGTTTCTGTAAAACCGCCCCCTATCCACCTGAATGATGTACAGAACTACACCGAACTGGTCACATTTCTCCAAAATGTAAGAGGTTTGAACAACTTTAACCTAAAATCCACATCGAGAGGAGTAACCGTATATCATGAAAACTCTGACACATATAGACGTATAGTAGCTAACTTAAGACAGGTAGGTGCCGATTTCCATACCTATCAGTTAATAGAAGACAGAAATCCAAGAATCGTATTAAAAAACTTACACCATGCTACTCCAATTGAAACCATAAAATACGAATTAAAATGCCTAGGTTACGATGCCACAAGTATTGTGAACGTTATTTCCAGATATAAAAATCCACTTCCCATGTTCTTTATCGACATTTCTAAAGCCACATTTAATGAAAAAATTTTTGATATTAAATTTTTACACTATACTAGAGTGAAAATCGAAGAACCAAGAAAGAAAAGAATGATTCCACAGTGCACCCGTTGTCAGCATTATGGCCACACGAAGGCTTACTGCAATCACTCTCCGAAGTGCGTGAGATGTGGCCAAGGACATGATAGCACCCTTTGCCAAAAGACAAGAGAGACCGCAGCAACTTGCGCGAATTGTAGCGGATCCCATCCAGCAAATTATAGAGGTTGTGCAACTCTAAAACAACTAAGAGAAGTACGCAATCTCCGTAAAAATATACAAAGTCCCCAAAAAAACACAAACTAGCGCACCCCCAGGTATAGACGAGTTTCCTTCTCTTCCGCAAAGTCAGCAGTCCGCAAATTCAGGTTCTTCAAAACCCGATTCCCAATATCTAGGACCAAAACTGCGAACTTCCCCTACAGAAGTCCCAGAAAATCACCTTCACCAGCCAAAGCATCCAGAAATGAAAAAAGGCTTTACTCAGCCGCCGCCACCGACTTACAATCACCCGGCTTCAGCTCAGCTCTTCAACTTGGTAAGTGGATTGAATAACCTCATCCAGCCTCTTTTCAGGCTTCTCCAAGAACTGTCTCACGTTGCGCAAGCCTTATCCACCAGTTATGGCTACTAATTGGCTGACAGTGGGCTCCATGTCCGTTCTTCTCTGGAACGCAAATGGTATAAACCAACACAGGACCGAACTTGACATGTACCTACATGAAAAACGGACTGACAATGCTCTCATCACTGAAACACATTTGACTCCACATTCTAAATTTTACATTCCAGGCTACAAAATATATAGAACTGACCACCCTGATAAGACGGCACATGGCGGTACGGCAATACTGATTAAGCAATCACTAAAACACAACCCTTTACAATTACCCATTACACCTGACATACAATCCACAGCAATTACTCTGTATACCCAGCACCATACCATTACCTTCGCTGCAGTGTACTGCCCTCCGAGATACGTGCTAACATCTGCAATGTTTTACAATTTCTTCCAACATCTCGGTCGGTGTTTTATTGCAGGTGGTGATTATAATGCCAAACATCAGTCCTGGGGAGCACGACTCTGTACTCCTAGAGGAAGAAATCTAAAGTCTGCCATCGATCAGCTTTCATTAAACACGATCTCACCTGATATACCTACTTACTGGCCAACTTCAAGACAGAAAACACCAGATTTACTTGACTTTTTCATTACTAAAGGACTCAGAACAGTGCGGTATACTGTAACTGCAAGCTCTGATCTTTGTTCTGATCATTCTCTTCTCAATTTGGTACTATGCGATGAGCCTCGTACTGCATCAAAAAAAACCAACACTTAGAAATAGGATAATCGATTGGGAAGCTTACAGCTACTACTTAAATTCGACGCTATCAATCCCAATGTCCCTTAAGATCGAAGAGGAACTCGAAAAAGCTGTTGATAAGTTCACAATCAGCTTACAACAGGCTGTATGGTCATCATCTGTACCAAGACCCAGCAGAAATACGTCTCTTCCAATCTATCCGCAGTACATTAGAGACCTGATCAGAGCAAAGAGAAGAGCGGGCAAAGTGTGGCAGACTGGTCGACTCCCATCTGACAAACGGACTTTCAATAGACTTAACAATGAACTTAAACGTCAGATTCAGAACTTTAAAAGAACGATCGACGACAATTACCTCAAAAATCTTTCGACTGACGATGGAAGCTTATGGAGACAGACTAAGAAACTTGTAAAGCATCGTGAGGTGTCAGCACCACTCCGAAACGTAGATGGTTCCTGGGCTGTGTCAGACCTTGAAAAATCTGAGCTCTTTGCCAACCATCTTTCTTCTGTTTTCATACCACATACTGACTTCTCTAATACTGATCACGAAAGACATGTACAAAAGACTTTAGACATTCCTTTACAACTGTCATTACCTCCACTTTGCTTCACTCCCACTCAAGTTGCAGAACAAATCAGACAGTTACCTAAAAAGAAAGCTCCTGGTCATTACCTGATAAATGCTCAAGTGCTCCAGAAAATGCCAAGGAAAGCTCTAGTATACCTAACATCAATTTATATACGCAATACTCAGAACGACTAAATTCCCCTTACAATGGAAATATTCAGTCATAAAAATGATTCACAAACCTAACAAAAACACTGACTTTCCTTCATCATACAGACCCATCAGCTTGCTCCCATTATGCTCTAAAATCTTTGAGAAACTTCTCTACAAACGACTTCTTGACATACTGACTACTGAAAACATAATACCTGAACATCAGTTTGGATTTCGTTCACACCACTCAACCATTCATCAGCTACACCCAGTGACAGACTACATTGCGACAGCACTAGAGCACAAATTATATGCAACAGGAGTATTTCTGGATGTTGCTCAAGCATTCGATAGAGTCTGGCATCAGGGACTTCTTTTCAAACTTAAGACTATACTCCCTCCAACCTACTATCTTATTCTTCAATCTTTTCTTTCTGACAGATTTTTCTCTGTTTGCCAAGGTACAGAACTATCTACCATTAAACCAGCCCTAGCAGGGTTGCCTTGGGGGTCAGTACTCGCTCCTCTGTTGTATATTATTTACACATATGATATTCCAGATCCTCTCGATACTCTGACCGCGACTTACGCAGACGATACAACAATCTTGACAAGACATCAAAATTCAGCATACGCCTCACAGACTTTACAATATCACCTAAACAATTTCTACGACTGGTGCAAACTCTGGTAAATTCGACTCAACCTAGACAAATCACAACATATCACTTTTACCCTTCGACGTGAAACTTGCCCCCCTATTTACCTTGACAATATCCAAATTCCTCAGACAGACAAAGTTAAATATCTTGGGCTGACCTTTGACAGAAGAATGACATGGGGCCAACATATTAAAAACAAAACAAAAACTCTAAACCTAAGACTACGCCTATTGTACTCACTCCTTGCAAGAATTTCGAAATTAAAACTTAGACAGAAATTGAATACATATACTTACCTACTCAAGCCTATTTGGACCTACGCTTTACAGATATATGGGACAGCCAAAAAGACTCACATACGTAAATTACAGACTTTTCAATCTAAAACTTTCAGGACTATCACTAAAGCTCCCTGGTACGTCAGTAACATTACTCTACATAAAGACTTACAGATGCCAACAGTTAACGACCACATACGAACATACTACAAACGATTTCATAATAGCTTACACGGACATACAAACTCATTGAATCGAGG